CTGCCCCCGCTTTAATGGTAGGAGTTTTTTTTTCACTGCTTCCTCCTTAGTTTGCCATGCGTTTCAGAGAGTGTTGAAAATTACTTTAAAATGAGGATATGTTGGTGAATATGTATTTATCTGCCTACATAACTAAACGCTCCCGCTGCCTCTGTGGTTGCTCACAGAGAGTGGCATTTATCAACTTTCTATTTATTTTTCCACAGCACTAAGGTAACAATGACAAGGCCCTCCGGGCCTAAAATATAAAATTTATTTATTTATTAATTGCCCGCGGATCCCCGGCAGTTGACCGCAAATCTTCGACGAGGCCTTCAAGACCACTTTTCGGAAGGCTTACGACCGCAATCTAAGGCGGGCCTAAAGGGAAGCCGCTGAGAGGTCTATTGCCAGTAAGTCAACGCAAAGGATGACGTCGTCATTAATAATCTCCTCTGCAAACTATAACCTATTTATATTTTTTAATTTCAGAGTCTGCACTAGAACTTGACCCCTCCAGTGGGATTTTATGTACCCCAGAACAACTGAGCACAATTGTCTTTGTAGACCTATTTTGTAATATTTTCAGTATAGTAGAGTTCTGTTTTACATAAAACAGACTTCAAAAAAGTGCTGCGCGATATATCGTGCAAATGGGGGTTTTTCACGAGAGATAGGTCCCCGCTGTCAAAATAAAATCTGTGATACGCATTCTCATTCAAATTACGCACGACTTCCTGTTTCAAATTCGTACGAAAGTTCGTACGAAATATTCGTGCATTCTTGGTAACTTCGTCGAAATTCTTGGCCTTTTTTTCTATTAGAGGTTAATCTTGGTTAACTTAATAGCATCTTTTGGTATAACTGTGTAAGGTTGCTGTTTACATCTGATTGACTTACGCCAGGCAGACGAAATTCGTTTGTCGGTTTTATTAAGGCCTCCGTTATAACATGTTTTCGCTGTTTCTCTTAGACCATGCCCATATTTCGAAGGATTCGTTCAGATTTCAGTTTTTCTTCAACTTTATGTATTCTTTTGTTTGTTGGAGGTTTGGACGTGCACATACCTTTTGTGTCGTCTGTGACGTTACAGAACATTGTTTTGACACGTATCACATCTATATTCCATCCCTTATGTTACAAAAAAACTCTATGTAAAACATCGTGGATAGTTTTCAAGTCCACGCCTAATTGTGAACTTTGATAGTCGGTACGTAGGCAGATTATGAAACTGTAGCCCAAAAATATGATGAGTCGAACTACTCCAATATTTTTAAATGAAAAAATTACCTAAGATTTTATTTAGAACTATGTTATATGGAGACGGAACTGTCACAAAATTCTTTGTTTATTCCATGCGTTTTGTTTTACTTTACTGGTTTCCTTTGACTTTCGACGATAGTTCGGTTAGCC